ATTGTGTTACTCTCCATGCACGCTTGATTGCCTCAGCACCAAAGGAATCCTTGACCTTGGAGACTGCCTGCAGCAGCTTTATTGACCGTTTATTCACTGGTTCTTTGCGGCTGCTTTGTTTTATTAATTAAAGTGATGATCCACTGCGGGATACCTCATCGAAACTATGTACCTAAATGTTAAGGTAAACTCATGATAGTCACGTCCAAAGCCTGTAGGCGTGTGCGGCATGCTCCAAGTGAGCAGTACGAACATCAGCATCTAGATTATATCAACCATGGTGGGGGATATGCTGTGAATCTCTTATGGCAGCAAGGCCTGCGTAAACATGGTGTAAGATACATTGTTCATTTCGTGAGGTACGGCCATATTTTGGTCCTAGCAATTTGGTGTATGTTTGTGCCGTTTGTGCTAACCCGCTTGCTGTGCGCAAATCAGGAATACCGCGTTGCAGCGGGCGCAGCTATTTTAAGTTTCTGTGTAGCAGAATGAGGTTGGAGCCACATTTCATCACCATCTTTGTCGTTTATTTTACTTCATCTCTCCTGAGGTTTTTGACGCTGCGATTTCTCAGTGTTTTATAAATATCCCATGCGTTTTCCCTCGGAGTGGCTTCGCTGGCCACCTACACCAAATCCCTTAATACCACGCATATCCGAGTCCTGATCCTTAAGAAAGTCTCCAGCTCTATCAAACGGTGGATTGCAATTTTTAATATACTTGCCACAAGTCTGTTGTAGCTGCGGACAACTTCCCCGCAGACCGCCTCAGGGGAATATTACGTTGGAAAATCCGGATTGCCAAACTTAGCAGCTCAGACAAGTCATCATATTTGCGTACGACGTAACTATATCTGTACTTTCATTAAGGTAACCTATGTAGCAAATGTAGTGAAACACTAGTGTCTCCTGATGGCTGCAACCAGAAGAATTGCACGTTATTACTGCTACTGCATCAATTTTGAGTTCCTCATTGAGAAAAGTAAGGACCACGATTGCCGGCTTTTTCATGTCTTGAAACGCGTTGGAAAAGTAACATGGTCGCACAACCAGAAACTAACGGTTAGCTCTTGCGATTCCGCCTTGCATTGCTACAAATTTGGCCGGAGTTTTCAACGTTTGCAGCCTGAATGTTCATAATAGGAAAATATGACTGTAAAATTGTGCCAGTCGGTTCTTCATAGTTATGACTAGAACACGGTCAAAGTATAAACTGAACAACGGTTGGAGGTGTACATCAGCCACTACTTCTATGGTCTTGTGGCATGTACAGGCGGCACCATACAGAGAGTATTGTCTGAACTCCTGTGTCATTTATGCAATCTAGATGTACGTCGCAGCAGTAGTAAACTACTACGCCTCCTCCTATTGTGGGTCGGTTGTTGCACAAGCGTTACATATCGAGTACTGTGGGTACA